TTTGCACTTAATTCATTAGACATGACTGTGTTGAGCTTAGACAGCAGAAGCTGTCATTTATGTCTGGCCTTGAAAGGTCATGGAAGATGGCTAGGGTTTCTTCAGTGATATGTGACAATAAAATATTGAAAATGATATAATGACAGGTAACTGAAAAGAAAATGGTGCATTCTTCTGGTTGAAAATTTATGGAATTTGAATTTTGTTCCTTCTTCTTGCATGGCTGCAGATGGTAGGAAAATTTCTATAAAACTCAGTGGCTTGGAATAATATTCTGTTGAAAAAGAGCAATAACAATTAATCGTTTGTACTTAATTTTTCAACCATCTTGTCTGACATTTGTTCGCAAGAAAAAAATTCAAGAAGTCGCTTTGTGAAACTGAACTCAAAATGCATTTGCAGAGATAGATGAAGTATACACCGTTTCCATTAGGTCTTGTGAATGTTTTATTACCTTGTTCCAAATTGAGTATGTCTCACAAGAGATTTTTAGCTCCTGTTTTTAAGTGGTCTGCCTAATGGAATTTAAAACCTCTGATGAGCAGGTTTGTCTTTTTAACGAAATTGCTTTCTTATAAGAATACACCAAGGTACTTAGGACCAAGGCCAAATTTACAGCTTAATTTAAAACCACAGTGAGAGGAACAGTTTTACAAGGTTTTATTATTATTATTATTATATTTTTAATTTACTAGGATTTTCAGGAATATAGTTTCCTTTATTAACTAAATATCTCACTGAAAGTCCCTTTTTTTCAAAATTATAAATGGTATGGGTACTAATTATTTATTTTGGGAGGGCATTTTCTCTCACTGTTTTCAGTCAGTCATGTCATGAGAACTGAAACATGTTGTGGTGCAACCTGTTAATCAAATTATTTTTCCCGTTTGTTTCTATCCCTCCCTTGTGCCGTGTGCAAATTAACATCTTGCACTACTTTTTTGTTTCTCCTATGACATATGATGCCAGAAAGAGGGGGGACAAAAGGTCTGTTGTTATCTAAGATCTTCCTTTTTTCTTTACAAATAACTTTTATCTTTATCACAAAGAATATTATGTCCTGCAGCAGATAGTGAGTATTCCCCAGGAAATTTCAACACTTTTCTTATTATTTACAGGGTATACCATACTAAAACTGTTGACAGGATTACCATCCATCCATGAACCCAGTTTTGGTAGTCAATCACTTCCTAGTAGAGACAGAGGCTGGTAAATTTCAGTAATAACAGTAGCAATGAGAATTTAAGAACTCAAATCAGATTTTTTAGATGTTCTTTTTCTCAGGAGCTTTAGGTTTGGTAACTTGTTTAAAATTTCCAGAAGTTTTTTTTTTTTTTTTTTTTTTTTTTTTTTAGGGGGGGGGGCTGGGGTTTGGTCTGTCAGACATGAATCAGGGTACTGGGTAACTTGTAGGTAATAGGGGGTTTCACTCATAATAATAGATAGCAGAGCACTGGCATTTTTGTGTGTATAATCTACAATAGATACAGCATGCTTTCCAGGTTCTTGAGCCTCTTGAATTGAGTGCAGGTACATTTAGTGTAAGTGTTTACCTGAAAAGCAAGCCAATAAATTACCATACTTACCCTCTTCAGAGAGCTATTTCTGGTTTGACAAATGGCACCACTTCCAAAATTACTGATGTTGATGGTTGTTTGATACTGAATTTAAGTTGTTCACCCAAATATAACTTGGGGAGGACATTGTTCCACTCTTTTGTATATATCATTTTCAATTATTTTTAAATGGGGGTCTTTTCCACCAGCTGTTACTTCACTTACCCTGCCCTTTTTATTAAGACAACATTTTACAATTTGATGAAATTTCCTTGTCAAATAAAGAGGCACAAGGCAAGATACAAAAAATCACCGACATGCATAAGAAGACTGGCTTGTAATCCACTACATCCTCTGCAATGTAAACTGTTTGTCTTCAGCTGAGGGTATTATGTGTGGACAGGTTAAGTAGCTGGAACAAACAGCATCATATCTCTGTGCAGGCAATGAGCCAAGCCAGTGTTCAGCTATTAGAAATTGAAATTTATTCACAGTGGAAAAAAATGATCAATGCCCAACCAACAAACGACTGTTTTTGTAATCATACTGTAGTGTTTGTGATTTGATGAAAAAGTTGGCCCCATATTTTATTGAAAATAAATCCTACAGAGTAAAGAGCTTCTTACTAGATGTCTAACCCCCTCCTCCCCCCCCCCAAAAAAAAAAAAAAAAAAACATGACAGGATAGAAACAATTAAAAACACTTAAATGTGTCATTTTTTTTTAATGTTTGCATGGTTTTATTATTTCATGACCATCCAAAAACTTGTATATTCTTTTTAAGTTTACCACTTCAATTTAACCAGGGAACGTTCATTAATCCAAGTATATGTGAACCCATCTTTTTTACCATTTTAAGGCAATGAAAGGGGGAGGGGGGGGGGGCACAGGATGTGATATACCTGTGGAGTCAAATATTAAGAAAAATTCTCCATCTGTTAAATTTTTCCTTGAGAAAATCTGGAGCTGATATATCTCTCCCTGGGTCATAATTGCCAGTTTTTCAAGCTGTCAGTTGCTCTGGGAATTAGACTGAATCACTCTAAAACATTTATGCATGTCACAGCATTTGAAAGCAGACATTCCCTTTGAATTTTCCAGTAAATATTACACTGCCCTGACAGTTATATTTGTTTAAATTGACTGGGCAAAGACCCCAGGTTGAAATTGACCTAGCAAAACACTCATGTTATGATTGACTTTGCAAAGACCTTGGGTAAATTTGTCTTAACAAATATATTGGGTACAAATTCTTTACCAAGACCTTATGTCCGAAATGACCTCAGAGTGACCTTGGGTACAAATGACTTTCAACATAGACTTTCAAAGAACTTGTGTCCTCACAAGTAATAGACTCGGAATACCTGCAACTAACATCATCATGTCCACTTATTGGAGGAGCATTGTGAAGACTATGATCATGATGAAATTGTATTTGACATTCTTATTTCCACTGGATAAAACATCTTTCAAGTCTTCTATCAAGTGAAGAGGATTTAACAGATAATCTGGTTGAATAGGTGAACAACAGCTAAATGGCACAGTTACTTTTGACCACAAGGACAGTTGTACTGATGTCCAATTTTGCTTGACACTTGTAGACCCCTCCTATCCCCATCTTCTCACTAGCATTTACAACACCATTTTTTTTTAATTTGCTTTGAAATTTAACAAAGGCCTGTATTTCTGACCATTGGCCCCAACACAGGGACCTCTGACCACTGGCTACAACACAGGGACTTTTTACCACTGGCCACAACACAGGGACTTTCTACCACCGGCCACAACACGGACTTGTGACCACTGGCCACAACACAGGGACTTCTGACCACTGGCCACAACACAGGGACTTCTGACCACTGGCCACAACACAGATACTTTTTACCACTGGCCATAACACAGGGACTTGTGACCACTGGCCATAACACGGGGACTTCTGACCACTGGTCACTTAAACAGTGAATATAAAGAATTCTATTACTTCTAATAAATAATAGGATTAATTTGACATTCCACACTGGTATCTGATATGTCTGTGGGTACATGTAGGACAGTTATAATATGGAGTTGACTGAAGTTGACCTGATCTGGTTGACAGATGATCAATAAAGATTGACTCCTTGGTGTCCCTCCCTTCGGTTAAAATGGATAATATTTACCCTTTTTTTCGGAGTTGATCACTTCACCACAAGATTTAAAATATTGTTATGTAGTGCATCTCTAGCAAACAGCAAGTTTTACTGATGGGACAAAATATCAGATATGTCTCTCTCCAATCTTGCCTTGTTAATGTTATCTACTGATAGACTTCTAGCTGACTTCATATCTTTCCCAAATCAGTTTCAGTATGCATTCCATTATTTCAGTGCTGTGGCAAGTTAAGAGGTACCCCAGAGACTGTTCCATGTGGCACTGGAGACCCTCCTAAGCTCTGAACAGTGGATTGGGATTTCCTATAAAAAAAAAAGGGTTGATGTATTTTTTCAGGGCTAATGTCTGTATATTTCCTTATGGCTGGAGTTGAGGTCTCAAGGCTTCATTCTAGTGCCCGACAAAGATATTTTGTGGATTAATGATTGCTTTTTGCATGGGCAGAGAGACATGTCCCCTGGGTTGTTACTGAGATGATGGTTTTACTTCACTTTTGTCAAGTTGACCAGTGAGTTCATATGTCAGTGTTCCATAACATTGGTTGCTCCAAAACTCCCCTAAATATGTCGGGTTTGATTAGCTGAAGGCCTTCTTTGCAGAATTCTATAACGAAACACTCCTCTGTTGAAAACTATCTAATGACTAGTAGATTGGTTTGTTTTAGTTTATGATAGCTATATGTGGACTTGAATTGATCAAGAGTTTTTCTACATGTCAAATGCTGTGAAGCCACAGTCTTATGATATAATAAATAATTACAGTAATTTATTCTTATATGGTGCAATCAATGAAGATCTAAAATTACATATTGCTAATTAAAAAATTTAAGTTTTGTATCTGAGAATAACTTATTAAGATTAATTCAAAGGATGGAAGATCTAATGCAATACAACTTTTCCTTATAAGTTTCTATAATAGGATTTTAAATGTAGGTCCATGACAGTCTCAGAATTTTAAAGTCATCTGCAGTGCTTATGACTGTATGCAAACATTGGTGCATATATTGTTATTGTCAATTCAACATAAAATTTGATAGTTATTTTCTTAAACAGAATATACTTAAAGATGTGTTTATGTTTGACCATCATCATGTTGTTATTGCAGGATAATCCAACATGTCCTGTCTGCCTTGTGTGTATAACTGTTGTCATGTTGTTATTGCAGGATAACCCATGTCCTGTCTGCCTTGTGTGTATATGTATAACTATTGTCATGTTGTTATTGCAGGATAATCCAACATGTCCTGTCTGCCTTGTGTGTATATGTATAACTATTGTCATGTTGTTATTGCAGGATAATCCAACATGTCCTGTCTGCCGTGTGGAGGTTCAGCTGCACTGACGTCCCTGCCTTGCAGTCCATGGTAACTTAAGGTACATATCATATCATAGGCTAATGATCATGGTAACCTAAGGTACATATCATATCATAGACTAATGATTAGGTCTGCTTCTTCTTCTTGAACAATAGTTCATAACAATAGTACAATAATGACTAAATCTTTTCTATGGGGGGAAATTGTGAATTTTACAAATACTGTATTTTGTAAGTCATTATTTCTTAAAATAGGAGCATTCCTATTGAGTTGTTGCAACAAAATTGAAAACAGACTACCTTATACTTCTATTCTATGCATTAAAAGCACCACAAATGCTATACAAAAATATAATAGTTTTTATGATATTAAGATGATGTATCTGAAAGTTTAATAATTTTTGCCCATTGAAAAGATCCAGTCATTATTGAATACACAAACTATGTCTGGGTAAGTTTGGACTCATGGTCAGCCATTTGATTTCTTTCTCTAATGAGCAAAGACTAAAAGCTGATCTTAAAAATAAAGGTTTTGTGGTGGCCTGTGAGCTCATCTTAATTTTGCAAGCTTAATTTTTGAATACTCTGTTTGCATTAAGAAAAACATGAATGTATATTTTTATTTTGATATTGGAAATTTATATTGAAAAGGATATGCTATTTCTGTATAAGTGTCATATATCTTAATGAATTAGATTCGTTTGACAATGTGTACCACCATTATTACAGTTCTTATTTCCTGGGAACTATTTTATTTGATTACATCAAGTTTAATTTAGGAAGTCACATTTTACTTCAGTGATATGGTTAAAAAGATTTTGATATGTGGATGACAAAAAAATTTTTTTTTGGATTCACGACAATATTTTGATGCCTGATCTGGTACACATCTCTGAAGAATGTTGTATAGTTTTATTTTTTGTATTGTCCGTTGTTTTATGGTTTCTCTGTTTTTGGTAAATGGCTTGTGTTTTTGTTTTTTATTTCTGTAAAGTATTGTGTGTGATTTGTCATTTGGGATCAGTAAGCCAACTGGAATTTATCCGTAGCATCAAGAGTGTGTTGCAGGCAATCTCTTGCTCTGCTGTCTAATAGGTAATAGCTTGCCACTCTCAGCAGGCCATGCCAGTTACATGTCCATCACATATGAGGTCCACATACATGGACTTTTATAAAGTTAAAAATCTCAGCTGCTCTGTAATCACTTTGCAGTCCAAATTCATCTCCAATTCTATTACTGTGAATGACACCCCATTCATAGGGTGTTGACCACTTCAAGGTCAAGGTCAGATTATACTTGGTCAAGGTCAGGGTGTGTCAGGTCAAGGTCAGTGTTATCATGGAAAGTAAATGGTGCAAGGCAAGAGAGTTCACAATGGACTATGAAATTTTTATTGTGTTCATGTCATGCTGCTCATTATTGGTTTCATATTATCATCATTGGCCTCATTTCTTAGAAATTATTATGTGAAAGGAAAACTAGATCAATTTAGAAGGAATTCAATTATATTTGATCAATGTTATCAAAAAGAGAGATGAAAGAGTACAGCTATGTATATTGTAGTTTGGAAAGAGTTACACGTGTTGCTGATATATGGCAAGATTTTGATAAAAACTGATCTATTTCACATGTCAGATGCATATGTTGTTGCTTTAACTGTACTATTTGTCTGTGTTATTTGTTTATGTTAAATAGCTTTTTTTTCACAGTTGATATGCAGGGGATTCTTTTTCTGGGATATTGTAAAGTGCTTGACTTCAAGGTGTAAGTTGTGTTGTAAAATGCCACATTGAGCTAAATAATAACTTGCATATTTGTTCGCAACATGAATTCACTTTTTTTTTTCAACCTTACTTTCAACCTCTTTGTTAAGTGTATGTGTACTTTAGTTCAACGCTTTTGCTGCAAATGCTTGAGTGACAGCAGCTGCTCTAGCTTGTGGCAAAGATCATGATATTTTCCTGCACTCTGGTTGTGATAATTGTATAAATATGCAAGTGCCCAGTTTTCCAAAGTGTAGACTGATTTTTTTCTATCAGAATGATATTTAATATGCGGGTATCTCAGGGAGATGACCATAGTATAGCTGAGTTGCTGGTACCAAGACCTGACTGTGTCCACAGTATTTGACTGTATACCTAATGTACCTCATTTGTTTTGTAAAATAGTGTTCATTGTATGTATGTATTTATAGTGTAGTTAAATGGTATTAAAATCTGTTTCTGTACTATAAAAGGTGAGAGGACTGTTACTCACCTGGACAAGTCATATATGACATACTGTATAGACAACGTGAATGTTTAATGGTTTTGTAATGTATCATAGTTATGATTACTGATAATAAAACGTTATTGCAACTGTACTGTATAGATGTTGGTTTTATCTTAATTAGCAAAATGTGTTTTGGATATGCTGCAATGTATTTGTTTTGTGAGTGAATCGTCTATCCACCCAATGTAGCCAACTACGTATACGACTTAACGTACGCGCGGGCCCAGGTATCACGCAGATAGGTGGTGTTGTTTTTCCCTTGATTCTCGCCTTAACGATTAGCGCGATCGGTGTTCGCTGCTGCAGTGGCACTAATTGGCCCTCAAACTTCTCTTTGCCGTCCAGATAAATCATTCTTAACAAACATTTTGACAGTTTACCTACGCATATAGGGTCGGCTGTGAGTTGAAATGAGTGACCTTGAATTTTAATGGTGAAATAGAAAAACATCCAGTTAAAAAAATATAAGAGTGAAAGGTTCCTGTAGAGCGGTTTTCAATAAACATTGCGCCAAAAACATATTTTCTGAAAGGTTCTTAAAATGCTAGCGTAAAACCTTCCAAAGATCCTGTAATTTGAGAATACCCGACTTTCAATATTAATGTCGCCCTATATGCAAATTGGATGAAAGTTGGAAAAGCTTCTACCAACTTGAAACACGTGCTTTCGACAATAATAGCTATAAAACATTTTGGTTCAATCTTCCTTGCTTGAACTGCCTTTTCTTCTAATTATACTTTAGTTAACGGACAGCTTTGCCCCATGTTTGATGTATTTTTGAAATGTAAGTCCCTTCCGGTCAATATGTTTTTGTCGTCAATACCAGCAGGTGTCATGGCCAGAATTTCTGCCCTAAATAAAGTGCCAGTCGATATCGAGCAAAGACACATATGAATACTTGTTTAGTTACAACAATGGGCAATCAATAGAGAAGGTCAATAAAATCGAGCTTCCCTTTCGTTTTGACTTATTTCCTAGCACATTTATTCTCACCTACCCTGAGCAGAACGCGATCACCTCGTGTTTTTTTGATGACTAGATACCCGCTGTGGGATGGACTTAACGCTACAGGTGAGGCGACGGCCTTAGGTCTTCAATTAATTGCATTTCGAATTAACTGAATTATATTATTATTTATTTTTGTGTTTACTGGGCTGTGTGAGACTTTAGTGTATGAACCCCAGGAAAAAATGAATGACCTTGGTCCTGACGCCGTTCTTGTTAAACACAGTAGAAATGATCTAAAACAGGGAAATGATAATATGCTCTTTCTATCCATGCTTTATGATATTCAAGGAAGACCCTTATGATGCATGTAATTGTAAAAGTATTTGTTAACTAGACGAGCTGGGTAGCAAATATCAGTTGCTCCGTCACACGTTGGGCTAAAAGTTACCTTTACAATTGCAGACGTATCGTCTTCTTTGCACTCTTGGATTCTCGTCGTTAAGAATATACTTGAACTGGAAATTGTTGTAAAAGTCGAACATTCAATCAAAAAGATGACAGCGTGCCCGAGTATAAACCCGTTTTTACAGCGAGTTGAACAGCCAACAAAACTATCACTTGCACGGCAGTTTTCATGATTCAGACGACAATAATATGCTGCGGTTTAAGTATTAAATCTGGCCGGCATTATCGAAGAAAGAATTTTGTCAGATTACTGTCCATTTGTCATTAGAAAAACAATAGAAATAGCTGGGGCTATTAATTTTATTTTTTTCTGATACGCCAATAATTGATCGTTTGCTGCGAATTCACCTCACCTGAGTAACCGAGGCGGCGTAGGACGAGGTGAAGCAGGTAAACGACGCAGGACAAAGTTGACTGAGGGTAGCTTTATTATGTGAATAAATATAGGGTTGGGGTCGTGATCGCTTTTATGATCATTATGAACGGGCGTTTGGGGCGATGTGCTTATAACATTACCTGTTTGGCTTGAAGAAAATAAGTACCAGACTTTGAAATGTTGGAATCAAACAAAAGGTAAAACGAATACTAAAATTGACGGATCTGTGGCTGCCTTGAACTTGAGTTTATCTCACAAAAATGCACGCAGCGTCTTCTGTTCGATTGAGTAGCAGTTGTGATGTTCGTCGTGTGCTTTGATCAGCTAATAACCTAAAGTGATCTGATCTGCCCACACTGACGACTCCATGACGTGGTGCATTTATGACGACTGGATCTGTTGGCATAGTTGAATAATAATTAATAGAAATGTACTACAGCTAACGTTTGCTTCGTAAAGAAAAGTTCTATAGTACTCCATCCAACCTACCTCTGACCTTAGCGGTTACAATGTGGTTTTGGGATTCCTTTGGCTTGTACGAGGTACAGAATGAGGAGAACTTTAATAAGCAATGTGTTTTCTTTGTAGGTAGCCTTGTTATCTTGTAACCTGTCTGCGAAGAACTAAAAAGCGTTGAGAAATATACCCCCCCCCCCCGCAAAGCTTCTGAGCTTATATTGCGGCAACTGAATCACAGATTTGTTAAGAGCTTTTTGAGTTTTGCTAATGTGCTTTTTGATAGGCTGAGTATGAAGAACACAAAATATAAGAGCCATTTCCTTGGATAACGTTGGGGTTTTACGGGTGAAGGCAGCAAACCGGAGGGTGAAAGTCACAAGGACGCACGCCACGTGTCTCGACGGCACGTAATAACCCAATGTACTGATACTTTTCTTTTTCAAAATGCTTTTTTTAAAGAAATTTATGGCAGAGATGGAATAAAAAAAATAAAGTGTAAACCAAAAGTGGGAGTAAGCTATTTGTGGTCTGACTGCATTTTGTGGAATTTTTCAGCTCCTTTCTTCCTCTTGATCATTATCACTTGATGCTGCTTCCGTAGAAAATTAACAGATCGGCTTTAGGAAATTATCTCATAAAAGAAAATCTGTCGGTTGTAAGGAGCAAATGGGGTTTCCTTGAATGGCCTCGAGCTTTCTCTGCGCTGTCATCTGTTTAGGCTTGGTTGACGGCCTCGTTAATTTACCGAAGGCTGCGCACTCAATGTTCAAATTACGAGGCTTACGGCACGTATGAACAGTTCAAGTCACAAATGCGTCTCAAAATAATGGACTTATACCTCCTAAATTTAACTTGTCCAACTAACAATTTCAGTTCAACTGGTATGAGCGCACTTAAAGATCATTAGCTGCAGCGTTGCGGGGGTGCTTCGTCTCGGAAAGACGGCTCTTATCAAAAGTAACAAATAGAATCCGACCAAGCAGAGGCAGTGACACGCAAAAAATTACAAACTGACAACAATGACATCAGTTGTCGATACAAATGCAAAAAAGGAGGGATAGACTGGCTGATGTTTTTTCTACTGCATATCAGTCCCTGCTGGATGTGTGAGTGAAGAATTCTAACTATCCAATATTTGGAGCGAAATCGTCAGAGCGTGAGTTTACAAGGGGAAAGTTCAGCCAATCAAAGTGTTCAATCACAGGGCTGACGTGACTCTTCTTCTTTTTTTCTTTTTCCTACTCTTGTTGCGACAGGTATATTACAGAGAGAGCGGTAGCAGTACAACAGTGCTCTGTGGATTCATGTTTGGTTCGGGACATCTACGATTAACAACCAGCTACAGCCGCGCTAATGTGTGTGTTTTGTAACTTTAACACATTAATTAGGAAACAGAGGCCTTTTTACGATAATCCCAGACGCGCAGCAAGCTTGCTGTCGTTCTGAATTACGACGCATTTAATATTTCACTCTAAACTATATATTTAGATTTTACGTTTGGAACAGCTAGAGTCGTGCCACTTGCTGCAAGAGGTCGTTCACAGCACCCGCTCACATGTCACCTATGCTTCACATGGCCAGGCAGACCACTAAATTACCACAGGACTTTGGAAACGAGCGTTATTTTGTCTGACAGGAAAGGCAGTCGAAGACGTGGAGTGTAACTACGATTTCTAAGTCACTCTTCAGTTTTCTCTTACATGCAGCTTCTTGGTTCATCTGAAAGTCCGCTGAAATATTTCCTTTGCTTATTTAATGTGGCATTTGAATGACATAACAACAGCGAAATGACAGCCGACCTATGGGATTCGGAAAATTTGCAAGCGTCTTGAACGACAGACAAGTTGGATAGTAGTGTATTTGTAGAGCGTCGTTCTTTCCTGTACGAACCACGGTGAGTTTGATGCTTTCTCGTTTTTGATACTTATTTACATTAATTGAGTTTTATTTGGGGGCATATGTAAAGGGTATGAACGCAGACACTGGAAAAGACTTATGCCTCCCATATAAGTTTACGTTATTCGTGATCCCGCGTTTTTATGTCTGACGTGTGGATGACTTTATCCAGAGGATAAAATTTCTATTTTGAAGTGAAAAAATGGCATCTGCTTTGCCTACGTATACACGGTTTTGCAGGTTTAACCTCTGAAACGAGCACTACGTACGGTTCGTCGGTCCACATTTATACACGCTTCAGGTTCTTGACTCGATATTTTTTCTTTTTTCCTGTGAACGCAATAAGCCCCCATTGGAGACTTGTTTTAGTGCCAAGTTTAGTGCGAATCTTACTTTGCCAAGCCATTAAAACGTTTCTCAGAAAACTCGAATTGATGATTTATTATTACTGCAGTTGCGATTAAGTTCCTTTCGTAAGCGAAAGACACGTTTCACTCTTAATGCTCGCGTCATTATATTGCTCTAATGTAGGATTTAAAATATTATTTTATCGAAGAGCATTTCAGTCATCGTTGCAATCTACATATCTTCACTAATTTGCCAGCAAATAATTCTTGTATTTTAAAAAACCATTTAAAACGCACTTAATGCCATCACTAAATATTCTGCGCAACCAGAAGCTTGCGGGAATGCTCTTTATCCTAGTAAACTCCTGACGGCAAGTGAAACAAATTAAATTATTCCAAAGCAAGTGCTACCTGAACTAATTATGGGTCTACTTCTCAAACATTTCTGTTCTTTCTCTTATAACCTACGTACAACAGTAGAGAGGTTTTTATACCATGCCCCCCTTCGTATTGTCTGCAAGGGCGTACGTGTGTATAACAAAGACACGTTTGGTCCCTGGTGTTTGAGGCAGACATAAGATATGCTATTAATTTGAGTTTGGACAGGAAAAGTTAAACAGTTGCATTTTATTTCATCACTCTAAAGAACCGCAGCATACCCGCTGTCTCAAATGAAAGATAGACGGCAGTCATTTATAACGCAGATTTGGATATTTTGGCGTTTTGAGTTTTATGACCGCGTCCCCGTTGTAGACTTCATACACGGGTCACGATTCGTTAAACCAGAGCAGAACTAACATGTTTACATACTCGGTAGCACCTCATAGATATTTTCGACGCGTGTATACAAAATGCTTATGTATGGAGCAGAGCTCTGGTACTGTTTTGAAAGAATGTCAAAAGTTCCCATGTTTTCAGTGATGTTTTAGGCTTCTTTGGTGTGGAAACCATGTATCATATACAAAGTGCCCTTTCGCCAGGATGCAATAGGCAAGATGGCTCTGTCCACTAAACTGAAGTGTCACCGTCACTGACCTAGAGTGTCTTCGTCACTGACCTAGTGTCACCGTCACTAACCTTGAGTGTCATCGTCACTGACCTAGAGTGTCACCGTCACTAACCTTGAGTGTCATCGTCACTGACGTAGAGTGTCACCGTCACTAACCTTGAGTGTCATCGTCACTAACCTTGAGTGTCACCGTCACTGACCTAGAGTGTCACCGTCACTAACCTAGAGTGTCTCCGCTACTAACCTAGAGTGTCACCGTCACTGACCTAGAGTGTCACCGTCACTAACCTTGAGTGTCATCGTCACTGACCTAGAGTGTCTCTGTCACTGACCTAGAGTGTCACCGTCACTAACTTGATATAAACAAGTAGCCTAGGTTGTTTCAATGCAATAGTATCCTAAAATGTTTTAATATAACATAGTAGCTGTTTTATACAAACCACCAGCCTGTACCCAGCAAACAAAACCTTTTATAATGTTACCGTAACGTTTTTGGGATATAGAACGTTATGGCAACGTTATAACAATGTTTTGGGTTTGCTTGGTAGTATTTCAAACACTAAACCATTTTGTTTTTAACGCGTTGCTTAAATTATTTTAAACCGCTAACTTAGAATAGTTTTATCTCCTATAAAGGAGGCCTAGGATTACTGATGAAATATTGAATTGCAACAGAAATAGAACGGCTGTGGAGATACCCACAGCAGTGACCGGTAATAATAATAGTAAAGATGTGATAGAGAAACTCTTTGCTGACGTTCAGAATTGTAGATATGTAAATATTCTCAGTCCATAAGTAAGAGAAAAGTTTTTATGCACCCCCATACAGTTTAGATCTTAAGGGACGATGTACTTTTGCCCTAGAAAAAGAAAGAATGCAATTTTTTCGTAAAAATACTTCGCCTTTGTGCTAAAAGACTTATTTCTTGACATTTAAAGCAGAAAATTACGTTGCTGTAATTGATACTTGTTAAAGCACCCCTCTTCAGAGTTATAGATTACACATTTCGTACCAAAGAAAGTTACAAAGGCCCATATGAAACTGCATGTTTGTCCCTTTCACGATCTCTTCGACAGATGAAAGGCACATTGGTCATATCAGTTCTGAAATCCAAAGGGACGCTAGCGTCTTATGTATCATTTATAGCATTGTATATATAGCGAGAGAGAGAGAGAGAGAGTCGAAAAATACGATTGAGTCCATCCGCTAGGTGCGTTTGCTGTTGGTCTCGTGGCGAACTGAGGAGCACACATTGCGTGACTTGACCAAGAACAAATGTTACGAAACGGTTGGAATTGTGTTGTAGCTTTAATTCCCTAAATGATTATCATGAAGCAATACACGAGATTGCCACTAACCACAAACTAATGACCACTATAAATCATGGTTTCTAATCATATTTGTGACCAAAGAGGTCAGCGTTTGAAATGTGTATATCGTTTAGTTTACCACCAAACATTTGCGTGTAATAGTCCAGAGCGACATTGTTGGTGATTGTTTTTCTTTTTTCTTTTTCTTTTTTATTTCGTTGAGTCTTGATTCTTCCTTATTTTGGAGGTGCTTGCCAGTTCTTGATGCGTGCTCTTCTCTTGACGACAATTCTATTTGGCAGGATGATGAAAGTTTATGTAACGTCCCTAATATCCGATCGACTCTAGTTAGTTCTATCTGTTGCTACAATAGTTTTGAGCGGTTTCATTAAAGTATAATGACATTAATTAATGAAACTCGATGCTTGAAAAGCCGGCGTAGTTCGGGGAAATCAGCGTCCATTTACTCTAGTATTTATGACTTATTGGTCCGCATGGGGGAAATCCTCCAATTGGAACCAATACATAGACAATAAATGCCAAATCACTAACTATGTAACAATCCCCCCTTGGGACTGCACGGACTGCAGTCTAATGTCCGGTGGGGCACCTGCTCTTATTACTTGTGATCAAATCTTGGTGATTGCTGAAAGGCTCGGGCTGCAGTGTGTCCGCGTGGAACCTAGAAAGAGAACTATACAGTCTTGATGGAAATGTGTTAAGGTATGTCAAAGGGAAAAGAACATCTTACTGGCATACCAGGTCAGTGCAATATTGAACCAGGTCTTTGGTGATTTTTCTGCATTACGAGAATGGGTTAGCGGAAACACCTCTTGATCTTGTCGCCAAAGATAGGCTCAGATAAGTCTGGTTATTACTTTAATATGTTTTTGCCTCCATGTAATTGCACCAGCCATCTAGATTTGACCGCACAGTCATAAATTGAGTGGGTTTTAGTGACATTGAACAGATGCTGTGAGAAATCTAAGAATAACGGTAATACCGCGCGGTTTCTTGTCCCAGCACCAAATCTGAGATTCTGCGGTCGCCGAGATGAGATGAGTAAAGAAATACATATGTGCAGCATTGAGGAGGCACAAAGTGCAGTCAATGAACAGCAATGAACTGTAGCAAAAGAGTTGAGTTCTCGTGGTAGTTCATCTACTTAGACATCTGCGTCGAGTTGCGTTAGCTGCCTCAGCAGTCATCGTAGATAGCGGAAGCGGAGTTTCCTTGCTGAGAAACAAAACATAGACCTTTACTTACGTTTATACGTCATGGCCTAAGTTCATGGAATTGCTTCAAGAGTATTTTTACAATGGATGTATATTGTTCTTAATTGCGCGTTTGCTTGGTTGGTTATATTAAAGATAAGGTATGTCTTACAAGTTATAGATGAATACGTTACAGTTGAAACGCGTATGTTGAAGTAATCTATCGGTTTTACTACTTAGCGGGCCCATCAGACGCTGTGCGAGATATTGATGTGTAGATCTGGTTCACTGCCTCGAAATATTGAAAATTATGTGCTATAATTGATATGCGCCTTCGGTTCATTGGTAAAACTTTAGCAGCGTCGTCTTGGCAGCACTGGAGTGTATCTGGGGCTGTAGAAGAGGCGTTTGGTGGTCGCCGAGGACCACTGCCGCACTTGGAGCAGGAACAGAGGCCAGTAAGTTGACCAACTCCGTATGTCAAGTAAGTTGTGGCTGGAAATTTGACCATAAAAACAGTTGAAAGTAATGTTTAACCTCAAGTGTTCAGGATGCCGCTAGTTTCATGTTAATCGATAAGAATAACTATTTAACAGAAAATTGTTCTGCAACCGCAACTTACTCAGAGTGAAGAGCACCAGATTTCGTGAGCTTCAGATGTGTAGCTGCAAATGTACTCTCTGTCATTTCGGATCCAAAAATGAAATTGGAACTTGTTATACCAAAGATTCATACGATGAACACAAGCAGTGTACGACCGAATCCCTTTGTTAACTACATGTAGGTACACCCCTTCGTCAAAATTGTCTCCCTATATTTTAATATGTTCAATTGTTTGAATAATACGTGTGTTTATGAACGCTGATTTTACTAGAGAATCGCAGCAAAGCTTTTTGGGAAACTTTTCTGAGGACAATAAAAATGTCCGGATTTACATGTAGTAGGACCTGCTGTGGTCCGCAAGGACTCGGTTTGCGAAATGTAAGAAAGATAAAGAAGAACATTAAATTTACGGCTTGTACCGGTAGACCTGCATGGCTGTGGCGTATGTAGGTTGTGGAAGTTATAATTAGGCGTGTAGAATGTCACTTCTTATTCGGTATCGGCCGGGTTAAAGGCGGACGCCCGCTTTTATTCAATTTATTGTTTGGAATTAGATGCTGGCTTGGGTTGTTTAGAATCATTCGAGGATTGGATCTAACATGCTTGGTGGTAAATTTTATTTATTAGGCATACAGTTGGTCGTTCTTAACTAATTCTGTGGACAGTGCCTTTTTTAAGGTCTTTGTGTATGAAGAGATTTGGATAGGTATGAATCGAACGCACCATGGCCATATTGAAATGAACAGAAATGGGAATAACCTTCAAATCAATTGTTTGCGTATTTGAAACACCATTATTTCTTCTCTGTCACTGGTCTCTTTTTCCCAGTTTTGAATTTTTCATTTCTGTATCGATTCATTCTTATTCCCCTGGAAACTGGATGTCATTTGAAACATGGCAATTTTTAGGACGTTAACTTTGGGAATTATATACGTATAAGGGCTGTTTGTGGCCTCACTGTACAAATGTATATGATACGAGCAGTCCCCTTATCCAGAGATCTGGGCTGATCATTTCTCATTCTAGAGCGCCGATGGAGCTATTTCGTTGTCCGAGTTGAAACAGAATAGCTCAAAATCAAACTGAAGTACACTTTTACTGAAATAGGTGATGCCATGTTTTTCATACTTCGATTCCAGGTTGATGAGTTTTCACGGAAAACACTTGTTAACGCTATTACATCTAATCAGAAACATTTTAAGGACGTTCTTATTGAAAATATTTCAATTACTAACAGTGTTTCGCTCGTTGATTACTGAAATTAGGATGCACCTGACAACGGTGGTATAATTGTAGAAACTTCAGCCAAGTGCCCATATAGACGACTTAAGTTGGATTTCAGGTCGTCAATAGCTGCGTATTAGCACCTAGAACAATACACTGAGACTCTTGTTGATGGCAGCTGGGGTAAGCATTCAATAATTCACAATTATTATACGATACTTCATTTGGTGTACTGCAATTTATTGGCGTTGAAGTACTATTCTGGGCTGTTGTAAATTGCAATCGCCATTCAACTTTATAAGTATTGCATTTTCACTTAACGTTATATGTGGCTTTTAATTCCAATGTTTTACAATAAACTGTCCCCAGAAAGTGCAGACAAATCACGTTAATGTGAATTTGATTATGTGTTAGACAACGCGTGTGTACAATATGTGAGTAGCAGTGCTGTCCACTATTGTTGATCGTTATTCATTCTGGAAAGAAGCATATCCTCCTACACGTGCCTCTCCGAGTAGAAAAGAAATGTGCTCCTATGCCATTATTTTAAAATACCCCTCGTAGTTTGCGTGGCATCCGATGGCATAGTTAAGCTGGCTTTATTTGATGAAGAAATAAGCAGTAATTACCTAGAGCGCAGCCTTTTTATGTACAGACATTTAGTGTCTTTTTATGTACAGACATACAGTGTCTTTTTATGTACAGACATAAAGTGTCTTTTTATGTACAGAGATATAGTGTCTTTTTATGTAGCCATCGCCTGTGTCTGTCGTCCCCGTCAGTGTCGACGTCGCCGCCGCAGTGCACATTCAGAGAAAGCACAATACGTCGAAAACCGTTTGGCCTATTGGTGTCAAACTTAAGAAACTGATGAACAGAAGTAAAATTCAGGTCGAGTTCGAATCTCAGCTTCATTGGATCATTTTCATGTAACTTATGTTTTTTAGCATTTTATTACACTATGTGATGGGCGTTTTATATTCAAATTTCCAAAAGTGATCAGTATTACCAAAATACAGGTCGAGTTCGAAGATCAGCTTGGAAATCAAGCGGCAGAGGATTAGATCGTTCGTTTACCAAAAATGTTCTTACCCAGAAAGTGTTTTTAGCGCCTGGGACAACATATAACCCTCAAAAGATAACGGAACCTATGCCCAGAAGGGTGGTGGCTAGAACAAGATCATGTAGCTATTCTACAACAGGTTGAATATGGGCTGACATAATAACATGGGTTTCGTAAGGGCAAAAGACTGGTCTGTAAACTTGTAGTAGAAATACTAAATTTACAAGAATTTTCCAATAAAATACTAATGAAAAACCTAACAACTCCAGCTGTTGTTCACCTTCAAGCAAAATATGATGCAATACTTTTGCCACTCCCCTGTTGTTGTAGGGGTTGTTTATCTTAGTTACTGTTCTGAATTATGATGGGCCGATGAGACTTTTATAGGTTTATGTTAAATAATATATATATATATATATATATATATATATATATATATATCAAAATTGATTTTCATACTCAAATGTTTCTTTTTGTACATTTGTACATTTAAGATCATGGCTGAAATGAATATTTTGATGCTGTCTTATTACTTCCAAGTTCTTATCGAGGTGGTGTCTGTCCTGCTTCTCTGAACATGTAGTTTACTACGTACGTATTTCCTAACTTTTTATACGTATAAAAATGAAAATTCTATTTTCGATTTCCACCAATTTGGCTAATTCTACTCGTACAATCCATCTTTTATCAATCTAAATATACCCTGTATAGATGGATGCCAGATGAGCCATTCAAAATATGATTTTCCTTTTGAGATTTCCCCGCTGAGATAACATTGAAATGTTTTTTATGAGCAGCAATCGCCGCTAAATGCCTTAGCACTTCAGATCGAGAAGGGATTAATTTTCTTCTGAAATTTGAACTAAGTGCCGCGCTTCTTGTTCGAAATTGACTTGACCTGAAACGCAAAGTGGGCATAAATTGGCTGTTTTTTTTTTTTTTTTTTTTTTTTTCAGTTGATTCCTACATGGTGTTACAATGGTGACGGTTGAGAAGAGAGTTTACCTGGTATTGTATAGCATTGAAGTAATAACTTGTATTAGATTTCAATATAAGATCGACCTTTGACGATCCGTGACATCCACTAAAGCTGGTTGCCATAGCTACATTACGTTTTAGTGTCTTTACCGATTAGATAATTTTACCACATATGACGGTGTGGTCTTCGCAGGAAGTCTTGCCATTGTTAACGTTTTGTGACAGACTCGAGGTTCTGTCCGGTTGTTTATGTTCAAAGGATGGTAGTGGTATTTAGGTGTCTTATAGCTAAACCTGATCTCTTCTCTTTCGATGTCATATAGGATTTTCAAATACGCCACAGTCCCTCACACAATGCACTGTGTTTGAAATGGTTTCAATAATTGAGTAATGGTCCAAAAACGCACATTTCTTCTGGATCTACCATGCGTTGTGCTTTGTTTTTGTATTAGAACTGACGTTACACGATCGCCACTATCCAAGGCAATTATACTTTATGTTTAGAGGTCGACAATCTGTTGCCTTATTAACGCAGATATTTGTTCTTGTTTCTGTTCAGTCAATTACCACTGGTATAGAAGCAGACAGTCAGGCGACAGTCGAACCCAGCCTAAACCCGTCATTTCCCTCGCTGCTTCTGCTGATTTCGTCATTTCCCGTTGTATCATATAGACCGCGACAACTGTACTCGTTACCCAGTTTAGCTGCCTCTATATACGTATGAATATAGAATCAGTTACAATTACATTGTAGTAAGTTAGGTTATGCCTTCATTTTACATGATAGCATTGTAGATGATTCAGCTTGTTAATTACAACACAAGCTTATAGAACTGCTAACTGCACTTCGGCAAGAACCGTGTTTCTAAACCACAACTCAAAGCAATGATCAGTGGAAGCCGCTGTTTAATTGAACTCGTTGCTGCAGTGTCTGCGATCCCGTTTGGCTTCATTGGTGATGAACTTGCGCTCTTTTCTGACGCACGTTTTCCTAATTTGCCATTTACAACACAGAGTCGCAGTGCGGCAGGCCTGACAGCTATTTAGAACAGCGCGGACTTTCTTTTTCACACCGATTTTAAAAAGAAATTAATGGATATACGTGTGAAGGAACAACCAGCACTTTGTAAAGCAAATAAAATGGATTACATGGGCTTCTGCCAATTCACGTTTGCGTTAAACCCATACGGAAGTATTTTTTAAAAAATATGTTTATTTTTCTCATATTCATTTTCGCGGAGTTTCGTTAATAGTCACTTAGTTGTGTATGATGACGGGATGAGGAGTGGTATGGCAAGCCAAAGGCCGACATTTATATCTTGGAGTGTTTAAAAAGTAGCAGGTGCCTGCTGGGGAGCACTTCCACGTGTTACATCATACATCATGTCCTGACGGAGTTAAAGCGACAAATGTGGCCTTCTGATATTGCAGTACCGTAGATCGGAACAAACGTCACGGGATTACTAACTATATTTGTGTGTTTTGCAGTTTTTTGCAAATAAATATTGTTTCACTTGCCCAATGAAAGATAATTTAACTAGTCCTGGAAAAGAGGTTTCATTTGAAAGGTTTAAGAGTGACATGCTAGATATTAAATAATGTGGGTGTATGCGTCTTGAAACAAAAGTTTTTCCATAGAATACGTGAATGAATGTTCACATTGTGTGGTAAACTTAATCACACAGTATTTAGTCATCGTGCTTTTGTAGTACTACGCTTTCCTCTCATATTTAATATGAGCTTGCTCTTTATTGTCGATACACAAGGGAATTGTCTATGCAGCAATTAGGTCCAAGAACATCTCTGCTTGCTGAGACTGATATCCTCGTGGTTCAGTTAAGCTCTCGGCTCTTGTTTTGGACACTGGTGTCTTCCTGACTAACGGACTAAAAGTGCTGTTGAGGAACCGTGGATTCAGCGGCATAAGCTCCGCATTACACAATCGTAAAGTATCTTTGTACGGTGCAGTTTATGTCTATGTCAGCGAACCTGTCCGTCTGTCTGTCTGTCTGCCTGTCAGATTTTTTCCTGGCCGTCAGTAGGGGCCTGTACATATACATGGAGTAAAGAGAACGAAGTAGGTCTTTGAAGGAGCTACAGGTATTTGATTCGCAACGTGTTCACATTTGAGATGAATTATTCAACTGATCAATTTTATAATAATGATTTAGGAGGTTTGAAACCAGACTTATGTTCACGTAATACACAAGGGTGACGGTGCCTCGTAAAACATAATGCATAGTTTCTTCTGTTGACTTTTAAAGCAATTATTTGATTGAAACTCCGATGTTTGCGTTGATATGTGGCTGGGACATGCTCACTTTGCTTTGATTTTCAACATTGCGCAAAATGGTTGATTTATTGGAGTGGATATTTTTAAAGATTGCCATCCAGACAATGAGGCAATACATTTGAATGGAAAAGCAAACAATTGGGTGTCCAGTCTTTCTTTCTGTCTTTCTTTTTCCAGCAGTGCGACGTATATAGTTTTCCTTTTACTCCATAGGGTGCGCTGCTGGCCTGACCATTTTCTCAGTTAACCAAAATCTGGCGATGCTATAAATAAAATTATCCATCGGGTAGAAGACTGATTACAGGGAGAATTAAAGGGGCCATCCTTAGACAAATTGGAGTCACAAAAATGTATTTACTGGAATTTACCACGAATTAAACATGAGATCTTTCTTTATCTTTCTTAGTTGTTTGTTCAGAAATTTATTGCCTAGTAGCTTTTATTTTCCTTTAACTTGGATTATCGATTGATCCTTCTAATGTCTTATTGGAAAAAAGCAAAAAAGATCTTTCATCTATCTCTGTTTGTGTCGAATACTATTTTTCTTAAATTTTAATGAGTGTGAAATGTTGATGCTAAAGCGTAATCCACTCTAGGGTGTGCCCCAATTGTTGGGTTTTATTCAAATATCTTAAATATTCTTGTTCTTGTCAGCACTACCCTGATGAGTGTTCACTTTTTCTTTTCAAAACGCGAAATGTACAGATTGGCGTCAGCTGTGACAGAGACAATACTTCTCGACAGATACAATATATGGGATATATTTATCTTATGAAGTCTACTTATTCTTCCTTCGAGTTTGGAACCTTGTTTTTATAAATTATTGATGATGTTATATTTGCTCATTTCAGTTGATTTATCTGAACAGGGATGTACGGACTTCTTCTGGAGAGCATATATGAGTATCTGAAACAGACTTATGGCGAAAATGTTGCTGAAGAGATACGGAAACGTGCCAATATTCATCAGCACAGCTTTGTCACACACAAGGTGTACAGCGAGACACTGGTCCCACGCATGGGGGACGCTGCTGCCGCCATAACTGGAACGCCGAAGGACGAGTTAATGGAGCAGTTTGGGGTGGCATTTGTAACCTTCGTAGGTCACTATGGTTATGACCGCGTGCTGAGAGTTCTTGGGCGGCACATGCGCGATTTTCTGAACGGACTAGACAATCTGCACGAGTATCTGCGGTTTAGTTATGCCAAACTTAAACCTCCGTCGTTCTTTTGTGAAAATGAAACCAAAGAAGGACTAACTCTTCATTACCGCAGTAAACGCAAGGGATTCCTGCACTATGTGAAAGGGCAGATTAAAACGGTGGGCAGTTTGTTCTATAACACACATGTGGAGATAGACGTGATAAGCCACCGGGAAACCGAAGATCTCACCCACGTTGTATTTCAGCTCAAATTTGACAATTACGCATATAGGGAACCTGTTGAGAAAAAGGACATAACACAAACTACAAAACTTCACGTCCGTTCTGCTGTGTTCTTCGATGTTTTTCCATTCCACTTGGTATTTAACAGAGACATGTTGATACGCAGTGCCGGGAAGGGTTTGGAGCAGGTTCTGGAGGGACTGGAAGGACGACAGGTGGATACGGAGTTCGTTATGATGCGGCCCTTGTTAGAATTTACCTGGAAAAATGTAAGTAAATATTTTCTTTACTTTCACAAAGTACGCAGTGGTCGTGTGGCGAGTGTACTGTTCTGTTTATTTGCCCAGTGCACGATGGGGTCGCTTACCAAAAATGAGTTGTAACGCCTGACCACGACTTGAAATTAATAAAACCACGGAGAATTAATTAGTAGAGCCTACTGAAATATTGCAGCCTTGTAATCTTGTTCTATTGAGCATTATATATATTCTATATTATATATGTTATAGCCTTTATATTACAACAAATGACTGTAAAGATTTTGAAAAGCACCTTGTATTAATAATGTTAATTATTATAACCTTTAATGGATTAGAACACCGATTTGAGCAGACATCTCCTCACGTCTGCATTTTAGCAATGAAAGTGTCACGGATTGATAACTATATTCCGCTTTAGAGTTCACTGACTGCCTGGGATGTTGGAATTCACAATTATTGTGTTTTGTCAATATATTTGCGTTCACGGATATATTACTTCCATCGTTTGACATTGATGAAAGAGGGTCTATTTTCTGTACTGCAATCTCTCTCTTCCTTCCAGGTAATGTCTCACACTAATAACGTGTTTGAACTTCAATCGGTTAATGAGACCAAAGCACAGCGGCAGCAAGATTTAGATGATCTAAGCGACGATGGTAGGTTAACACCCGGTCCACTCTGTTAATCCGTATATTTAAAACAATCTCATAATGCATTTTTTGTTCGCTGATTGCCATATAATGTCTCCATTCAAACTTTTGTATACATATATAATGAATTTAACGCATATTTTCAGCATCTTGCTTCATCCAGAATTTCCTTTGCGCTGTGCATTTGCGCTTCAAACTAACGTATATTTAGCAGCTTGCGAACAAATTACGGGAGATCCGTGAACATTGCTTTTCTAAATGCCCCTTTCAGGTCCTTTAAATGTGTATAATAGACTCTGACGGGCAGAGTACGGCCGCTGGTTCTGCATGCGAAGACTGCAGACTTTGCATCTAGGCATGGGTTGGTTCAGTAGTTCCCCACGGAATAATGTCTTAGATCATATTCCATCAATATTGGGGAAGCTAGAATGTTTGATGAGAGCATAGATCCCTTGGCGTGATATTTCACTGAAAAACATCAAAATTAATTGAACGTTATTGTAAAAAATAAACTCTTTATTATATAATCTAGGTTAAATACTGCATCTGTATATATAGATATCATGTTTGCTCCCCCCCTGTGAGTTATTAAAGCTGACCAAGATGCCAGATAATTACAGTAATCACCAGATATAATTTTAAACAACAGACCGGGTGCTGCTAACGATTCGGTTGCTACATTTAAAAATGCTGGCGAAATAGTTATTACCACTGTCTCCCGTGTAATGAGAATAAAAAAGAAAATCGTTTCTAAAGAAATTCGAAGCCCATTAAGGAAAGGTCTGAAAGTCATACCTCGTAGACAGTAAACACGTTTGGTGATTTTAGAAATGATGTCCTTTTTTTATCAAGAAATGATGTAACATTTAAAAGTAGGATTATTGTGCGTACTGAAAATGGAATGACGTCCCTATTGAAATGATGGAACTGTGCTGCCTCTTACATTTTGATTTCTTTAGTCACGATGACAGGTGCTTTACACAATGCCTGTTTTTCTCACGATTCTTTGGAGACGAAAGGTTAGATCTACACTTGTCTAAAATGATATCCCTTTAGAAATCCGAAACCGCCAGTGAGGCATACGGACTGATATTAGTATGATTGATTTTATCATGAGGACTTGATTATTGTTAAGTGTTGATTTTGACGAGTATTTAAGATGATGATGATGGTTTCCTATAACCCCGTACTACATCCCTTGAAGGCATCTACCCAAAATTTTGGGATAAATGTATTAGCGCGTTTATTACCTAATTGACCTGGTCAGGTAACTGTCTTGATGCCCTGGTTTAAAAAGGGTGAGGTGTTCGATAACATGCGTCGACATTAAGTTAACGCTGTCAAACAACACTCTTGTAACATTTTTAATGTTTTTATCATATTTCAGTTCAAACAAGTTCCCCAACAAATAATGTAAATTAATTGCAAAAAGTTATTATTCAAATTTGGATTTCGTTCCTCAATGTCAGATTACTCTCAAAAATGTTACATCAAGTTGCAGGTTTGATTTGAATAAATGGCAGTGGCAGTTTAACCCACGGAAACACTTGCCTAAGCTATTGTAAACACTATGAAGGTTATTTCTTGCTTCATGTAAAATACACGAAACCTATCCGGACTGTGTTGAACGTGAACCGCTGTTTGCAGTCACATGTTGAAAGGCTGGTTCTTATTCACTAGATGTCTGCAGCTTCCAAACCGAGACTGCATCGAGACGCACACGTGTTAGTCGTGCTTCCAGACGCATCAGTTATGCACAATCTCAAGGTACTGACGGTAGCAAGACGCTGTACAATACGTGTGTGGTGGCTGCGCTCGTTGTGGATTTTTAGTTGCTTTTCCCACTCGTTTTCTTATCATTTACCTTTTTATTTTTACTGGTGAACTTGAAAGTGTATGAAGGTTTTTATTTCATCACTGCAAGTAACAAACCAGAGCGCATTAGAAATCCCCATGGAAACGAAACACATTTATAGGATTTCTAAGGAAAATGTTGTCTCTATGGATTATGAAAACTAAATATTTCAACGCACAAACGCGTTTGTTCACCAGCTTTTATATTGCCCTAAATGTGTTTTCTGGCTTTTTTTCTTTTTTGATGTCATAATGCGATATGCGATGCGATGCGTTGTGTGTGTTTGGCGTTACTTCACTGCACAAGCATGCCAGCCAGTGATCCAGTGTGTATTAACGCTATCACAACTGCACCACGGGCCTTGCACATAACACGGATCACTTGACCTCACACGCTCCTTTATGTGTTTTCTTTTCTATTGGGCATTATTCAGTCAAACACCTTGATCTGTGCATTTTTTTATTTACTTTTTTGTAGGGTACCAACGGCTCCGTCTTTTACTTTTATTTATCATCATATTATAGCTTCATTATCTTTGCTTTCTCTAATTGATATTTATTTGCGCTTGAAATGGCGCATTGTTTTCTATTTTGTGTGTGCATGCTTATTTATTCTTTTATTGCTCTACACCTTTTTTTCTTTTATGTTAATGTGCATAGATCCAAGGCGCCTATTTTCTACTCAAAACGGCCTCCCACATGACGATTCTAGTGGGCATGATTCAGGTAATTCTTGAACAACCTTATCATGGCGTATTTCCATTGCTATTCTCTTTCTTGCAACGGAAATATCTATACAAATCTATACAATTTTAAGCCTTGACATTGGTTATACTTGATTTGTTTTTAGCATGGTGAAACACTGTTGTCAATATAAGTGCATGTTTTTGTTATTGTGTATATTGCCTTGATCGTCAGTTGTCTTAAAAGACATGCCTCTTGTAGATTTTTTTACTAGGAAATTTTATTTTTAAGATTTGAAAATCAATTTGAAAATTGTTCCATATAAAACCATTTGAAATTAGTTAGTCGACACAAATTCGCATGGAGCCCAAAATTGAAGTTTCTGAAACTTGTCAAAATTGGTTTATCCATTTTTAGACTGTGGCACCATCTATAGTCAGCCTGCGCATGACCAAGTTTACAACTCCGCGCGGACCTCCTACCTGCGTCTGAAGGGACAAATGATGTTCATGGAGGAATGGGACTCCATCTTATTTCTGGGGACGCCCATGTAAGATTTGTTTTACAGTAGGAAACATATTCTTGAAGAGGCAGTTGTATGGTGTCAGTTGAACTTCCTTGTGAACCACATTTTATTATTGTAATTGGAGATATACTTTAATAAAAAACGTTTACTACTACAGAGTTAAAACCAAATACCAGTATTTATTTATTTATTTATTTATTTATTTATTTATTTATTTATTTATTTATTAAGGGGAGTGTTCCATAATTGCTTATGTCGATGCCAATGTTTGTTTTCAGCATGGAGAACCTTGATGTTATGTTTACAACCGGTCTCTATATCAACGATCTCAGTATGCACGACTCCAGCAGAGATTTGGTGTTAGCTGGAACACAGCAGTCCGCAGAACTCAAACTAGCCTTGGACCAAGTAAGACTTAACTGGAATGAAATTGGGCACCTACACGTAGTTGCTGTGTTTTAAGTGATGTTATCTGGCAAGACTCGACCAGTTTTAATATTTTTAATGTTAAAAAAAAAAACAGTAGAACACCTGTGTACAATTTATTTGGTTTACAATGCTTCTTTACCTTCTCTCTATGAATATTATGAAAATCATTCTGTTATCAGTTGCGTGTATCTAATTTACATAACTTCTTTGTGACTATGGGGCCGTTCTTTCTTCTAACAGGAGCAACAGAAAAACAAGAAGCTAGAGGAGACAATGCGGAAGTTGGATGCAGAAATGAAGAAAACAGACTCGTTGCTGTACCAAATGATTCCAAAAAGTGTTGCTGATCGTCTGCGTAAAGGGGAGCCAGCCATGAACACTTGTGAGGTAATTGTTTTTCGCTTTGTGTGTGCGAGAGCGCGTGCGGGCTTAAATTGATTAGTCACTCGCCGGAATACCAAAAACAAAATGTAACCACCACGGGTAAAGTAGTCATATTATATCCTCGGACATAATTCTTGTTACATCCGACTATAAACCCCACTTAAAGCTAATTACCAATATTAGTGTTATTCGTTGTCTGTTGAAAGCTATTTGGTCTTGTTTCTCACAGGTGTTTGAAAGTGTCACCATCTTGTTCAGCGATGTGGTAGGGTTCACTACTATCTGCAGCCAGATCACACCAATGCAAGTTGTGGGGATGCTCAACGCCATGTACACAGAATTCGACCAACTCAGCGAGAAGAACCAAGTCTATAAGGTACACATTACGGATGATAAACTCAAAAGCTGGTAGTTTTTCTCAGTCAGTTATCATCTAATACGAATCAATGGAAACCATCCGAAAAAACCTAAAACGAGGTTGTCGGCACTGCTTAACGTTAGGCGAGACTGGAAAACGCGCGAGAATCCGCGTGAAGTGGGGCTAACAGTAAGGGTGAAACTACAGGTGGGAATGTCGTCTTAGAATGCAATATACAGTTGATACCTAAAACATGGTGAATATGTACTGTTGTGCAAAAGACCATTACTACATAATTAGAGAAAAACTACATGTAGATAATACACTGATAATCCTGTGCATCGCCATTATACCTAACCCTGTTCTTGGACATAATAACGTAATTTTGTCCAAGCCCCCTTTTTCCTAAAATCTCGTAAAATAAAATTCCTAAAAACTGAAATCTCGCTTGGTTTACGCTAGGATGAAAGACTTCGATTTATCACGGATGATTCCCAGTGACGATTGTTAAACACCTTGCCTCGTCTTTTATTGTCATATTGATAGAGCCCAAAAAATTGAACTTCAACTGAATACATGTACATGTACTTTGTCACTTTGGGGCACTAGGTTCGACTATAATTATTTATCCGAATTCATGTTCCTTAGGTGGAGACGATAGGGGACGCTTACATGGTGGTGGCGGGAGCACCTATCAAAACCAAATACCACGCGCACCACATCTGTAACATGGCATTCGACATGTTGGACGCCATGTCCAACCTCACCGACCCCTCCACAGGCGGCAATATGAGGATACGAGTGGGTAAGTGTCGACAATAGTGGAATGGCTTTACCCCCTACCAGGGCGCATGATAGATTTTTTACAGATATTGACAGATATGTCTCTATCTAGATAGATGGTCATTTAAAGCCATCTATCTAGCTAGAGACATATCTGTGAATATCTGTAAAAAAATCTATCACTCGCCCTGGTAGAGGGTAGAGTGGCTTAGGGTAAAAAATTGGCCAAATCATGACACGGCGGATAAAAGCACCAAATTTTGCACGTGGTTACCTTTTGACATACTAAATCATTTTAGACCCGTAGCCCTCTAAAAAATTTTACCGTTTGGTCAAAAAATCCAAAATGGCCGCCAATTTATGAAATTCTATAGAAATATATACATACCTATGTTGATTTTTATCAAATTAAGCATTTTCTCAGTGTTTTCCACATCCTTATCACCCGTAAATTATGCATATATATTACATTACAAACTAGTGTTCTTGGACTTTTTGAAAAATCCAAGATGGTGCAGTATGGCATAGGAATACTAGAAAACCAAGGAAAGTTATACTCAGCATATAAATATACGGCATATCCCTACTGTGTGATGTATTCCTGCCACTCTGTATGCTGTGTATGTTTTATCAGATGTGTATACGAATTTCATTGTGACTTTTTTGTTTTCGTGCTCCTAAAGCTTTGGTCATCCATGACCATTCATAAGTGTGTGTGTGTGTGTGTGTGTGTGAAAGAGAGGGAGAGAGAGAGAGAGAGAGAGGAGTGTGTGTGTGTGTGTGTGTGTGTGTGTTTTACTTGCTCTCTATGTACACCATGTATATCTGTCTTATTTAAGGCGTACATTCGGGTGCAGTGGTAGCAGGTGTGGTAGGGATGAAAATGCCGAGGTACTGTTTGTTTGGGGACACTGTTAACACGGCCTCTAGGATGGAATCCACGGGAGAGGTAATGTGATATCACATTGGAACACTATCCACACTGGGTTTAATTTAAACAATATTGTGAAGTGCGTACACACACACACACACACACACACACACACACACTGTATACATTCTAATACAAAGTGAAGTTTTGCACGATTACAATTAACGCACGTTTTCAAAGGTTGTTGTTTTTCTCGTACACCCTAATTTTTTCACATTAGTTAAAAAATAATTTGTTCATTACAAGAAATATGCATCCCTGCTCTTCTTTAAAAAAATTATTTCACTTAGGCCATGAAGTTACACGTCAGTGAAACCACAAAGCAGTTTATATCAAGCGGAGACGGCTACGTGTTACAGGAACGTGGATCTATCCAAGTGAAGGTAAAATAACAAACTTTGTTCCTACTTTCTGCCCCCCCTTCCCCCCCCCCCACACACACATACACAAACACACAGAACCCCCCTCCCACCATTTGCTTTCATGGGCTTTCCTCTCTACGTAATGCACATTTCTCAAAATTACAATTCAAATACTGGACGTCAAACGATCTATTTGACAAGGTGTAACTAACTGCATGTTTTTTATTGTAATTTCCTTGGCCAATGTTTCAGGGCAAAGGTTCCATGAAAACCTACTGGTTGATGGGGATTCCTGGGCACGACCCGGCGAAATACGCGGAGCTGGCCAGGAGAGGCTCGCACATGCCCCCCCTAGAGAACGGCAAACACGTCAACGGCTTCGATACACTGGGTCCCGAGGACGCAGAACTCGATGGTCTTGAGTCCGATAAGGTATCTTTGGTATCCCCTCCCCCAGTGCCTGGTGACTGTGCTTTTGTCCCACCTTTGCTGTCCATTGATCATAAACCCGCTGAGCCCTCTGAGGACGATGTGAAAAGCGGTCTCAAGTCGCCTTGTCCAAACAAGGACCAGGGCAAAGCTGTGAACGTAGACGACCAAAGGGTAAAACCGACAGACGTGTTTGCTAAAGGGGCTGGGAAAGGGAACGGCTCTCACTACTCCAACAACAGCCTAAACGTTGCCATGAAGAAGGTTGGCAATGCAGAGAAGGCGCGTAAGGAAATGTTACGTAATGATATTAATCCTGATATAGAGCCAGAAAAGAAACCTGCTCCCACAAAGAAAAGCAAATTTTGCAATTTACTTTGAAAATTAATCGTATACCAGTTGGTAGAACGCTCTATTTTTCTAGAAAAAAAATTGTTGGTGCGTCAACGCTCCTTAACGCGCATGCGTACATTACGTGGACATAAAAAATCAAGAATACTCAACAGGTGCTGTCAAAAACTGAGCTCAGAGGTACACGTGATTTGAAAAATTATTAACACAAAACCGTCCAAATCAATTGTCAACCGAGCTGTGAAATATTTACATTTTCCTTTTCATTTTTTTAACTTTTGCCTTTTAATTATATTCAAAATCCATAGTCGCGATTGCGGTTCAACAATCCAAGTCTGTTTATACAAGAAAAATACAAATTAATCCGCTTTCCAAAGCTGTTTGATGAACGCGCGTGCCACGTCGCTCAGCATAGATTTTTTTTTTTCATATCCACATTCCTCCCAGTTTTATGTTTAGTAAGGACAATCCGTGTGAGGTATTGTTTGAATGTCTTTTTATCAGTGTTTTCGTCTTTCTAGTTTGACATGTTACTTGCATTACCCCTTGCATGCCTTTAACTTCCCTACTTATTTCTGTTTGTATCACTATCTTTGATGTTATGCAAAATGTCTTTATATTCGCTCTAAAAATGACAGGTTAATATTGAGAATGTCCATTTATGGATAAAACGCCCGCCTTTCCGAAGAAAAACAATTTGTTTGCACCAAGAATATTGGTTTTATTATTGTGTTGTGTCAAACTGATACAGCGCCGCCCATATTTTTCGCTACAGTCACCTGGTCTTACCGCGGTGTAACCGTCCCCTTAAACGCGGTAAATCCTGTGGCGCAAGGCAATGGCAGTGCGGTATCAAGCGTATCTTTAAGAGCATGTTGCGTGTTGTGGCGTGATTGCACCATCTCACCAATGGCTTTTTTTGTTTCTGTTACAGACCTGATTCCAGACACTCCCACTGGATTGCATGTATGACATCTAACTCAACAGTCTACAACGTCCTTAACGTGTTTGGAGAGTGACGCGCGCATTCTACTACTACTAACTCTAACGACGTTAACAATCCGAAGCCTGATCATTCACAATAGCTGAAACACAAGGACTCCAATCCTGAGAAGATAACTTTGAGGCTGAGCTTATTTGTGTCTGACGACTTTGACTTGGAGAGAATTTGTCTTTGGCCGCTACCTACTTGTGCATGTAGTTGTTCCTTGTTTATTGTGATGCACTTATAACTGTATAGGGCCCAGTTGAGTCAACGTAATGTGACATTAACCCATCCTGGCCACGTCTAGATAACTGTTTATTGTGTATAACATAAAATATAGAAGTGTTTCAAACGTTAACTAATTCGACCTCGTATTATATGTTTGGGTAACTGAACTAACTTGTGATCTTACTGTGTACTACGTGATATGACGGTCCCTTTGGTCCTCTTGCAGGCTTTGAGAGAGTCAATTAAAAATCACAGCACCTTCACTGCTGGACATCAAAATAACGGACAAAATGACCTTAGGTCAACAGCTTTCTCAACAAATGCAAGAAACCTAAGTGGAAAACAATCGATCATTGATTTATATAGCTTTTTTGTGTGATTTAATCGACCCTAAGGCAAGTTGACGTATTGTCAACAAAGCATTCTACTGTGCAGTTACCGGCGGATTTGGTCAAAATATTATTAAAATTCTCTCAGTTTCAATTAATTTTACCAAATTTGATACGACTGATGATGACCCGCGGATGAATATTATTATCATTATTAGCTACTAACAATAGTGAAAAACGACTACCACATTTTATAGCATTAACTAAATTGCCCATGATATAATTATTTAATGCCATTTGAAGTTCAATACTAAAATGCGCGTATTCCCACATAACACATACAATTGGTTACGTTGGCATCGCTGGGCCCCACTGTGGTCTTACTTCTTTTGGAATGAAAAATAAGACGATTGACTGCTACCAGTTTTTGAAATGTTGGAATTAAGTGGATGACTGTGCTGAGAGTCAGGTGTAACAATTCGTCTATTAATCCGAAGATGGTGAGACGTGGCGAATATCTAAGTGTAAAGTATATACATGTATATGGTCATATTTTTATTAAGCTCTTCCTAATACAGACATAGAAAACAAAAGGTCTAAAAGACGCTTTTACATAATTTTATATTTGAGTTTAAATTGTGATGACTTTATTCAGATACACATAAAACACTATTTGTAACATTTCTCATTTACCTAATGCAGTATCTGGATTCTCATGTCATTTATTTATTGATTTCTTATGAGTTTAAAAATAATAATGACAGGTCTGGGCTTTTAATATCGGTATCAACTTCATATTGTACTGCCTTAACATTGGCGCACCAGGTCGACGCACAAGTAAAGGATTCTTTGCTAGAGTTTGTATTGTCTCGTTATTTCCTGTGATCCGAATTCTCCTTTGTATAAAGCACTGTATATTGTCAAATCTATGTGAGAATAAATAACCAAAGATGAGATATATCTTTCAAATCATCATCACATTTGTATTGTCTTTGCCTTCTGAAAATACTACTTTATAACCCAATATAAGGTTGCTGCTTTATGCAGGTTACAAAATTTGCACTCAAACTACACGAACTGTACAAATGATGGATGGCAGTGAATGAAGATTGTGTCAGTTGTGACAGCCAGCACAATTGGACACATCCTTTTTGTTCAGCGACAATTACTGTACTCATCTGCAGCACTTAACAAAGACAAAATGCAAAAGTGGCGTGAATGTGGATGCACGGCAACTGTTACTAGAAGCATAAAATAGTGATATGTTTTAATCAATTAAAGCAAGGCAACAGTCTCTATGATTATGAAGAGCTTTGATTCGCACTATTTATTTTCAAAGAGAATAGTAAAAAGTGCCTATATGTCTGTCATTTCATCATTAATATTTATAGAAAAAATCAATGCACTGTGCACCACTGTCTACCAGATCATGGTGTTATATCCGCACTGCTGTTAGTATCATTACTTTTTAAGCTAAGTTTGCATAATTATCGAACAATATTTAGGCGCGTAGGCAGGGGAGTTAGTGGGAGTCGAAAGAAGCGGTCATTTGACGAGAAAACGCTCCCTCAAAATAAAAAATAGCCTAGGTTCTATGTAAATTCTCAAATTGAGTCGTAACAAACATTACAAATCCTGACTGCAAGCTCTATACACGGTAAAGCATTTTTCCATCAATCCTATATCTGCCCTTAACTTCTAATGTAAAATATCCCCATACCATTGAAGCTTTGCTTCCAGTTTTCAATCTTTCATAGTCTTGAAACTGCTCAGCAACTCTTTACATAATATCGCACATTGTACCACGTGGGGGGTGGGGGGGGGCGCTCTGATGACACCTACACATGTAGGCTACATGGCACAAAAATTTCAAGCAAAGAAAGGTGGGAAAAAAAGGATTTCACTCAATTTTTATCACCTTTTTTTTCAACGTAAATTATGACAAATCGTGGGGGTTTATCGTTCGGTCCAAGCTCCATGCCCCGCCGTGGTGTTGTTCTCGGTTGTGGTTCTCATTCGAGAGGCAAACGGGCACGAGAAGGGCGTGGCGGTGTGTTTTGACTAATAAATAAATGGGTTGTGGACCATAGGTTACATAAAGCCGTCAACTCAACACGACAGGCAGCGACCTTGTACTGAAATGTACGTCAATAACATGAGTATCTGGAACACATTCACTTCAAAGCAATACTGCTTTAATTGAATTTTTTGTATATTGCGTGAAGTTCATGAGCAACGTGCGAGAAGGTGTTACTACCTCGGTGCGTAAGTAAAAGTAGAAAATACGCTTTGGTGCCATTTTTGGGTTGAATTAAAATAAAAAAAGCTGCATGTTTTAAAGTAGTTTAAGAATGATTTTAGAGCTTCTATTTAGGTCTTCTGCTGTAGCAGCACCACCTCGGATTTGCAAATTAAACGACACCTATTCGCTTTCAAAATCTTGAGTAGACTTAACTTTGGAAATCATTTGGTATATTTTTGATACACGTTGTTACATATGCCCACAAACGTAAACTCTACGCGTATAACTAAGATTGTAAGACGTAAGACTGTAAAAATTAATACTTACGTCCATATTGCACTTGCGTTTTATGCTTGTCAAAAACACTTCATTTAAATTGTTGTTCGTCAACAACAAGTCCGTTGAAGCTCTAAAAGAGAGCTCAAGCGAAATATTGTATGTAATATGCATATTCCAATAAATCATTTTACCGTTGTGAATTAATAAAATGATACGGATGTCCTTGTTTGTATTTATTCAAATATAACGAAACTACTCCTTCCATGTAAGTTGCCATTTTATGCTCAAATCAATCCCACAGTAAAATGCATTTCGGCAAACTGTGACATAGATTTGCCGGTCACTATTTAGGACTGCCAAGCGGATGGGTGTCGGGGGGGGGGGGGGGGTTAAAAGACTTCATAGCAAAAAACCTTATCAAATTCCCATTACAAAAGCTCTACAGGACAGGAAATTACTGATACGGTGGCTACACCTCACAATATCAGTAAACAAGTAAAGCAACTACATACTGGTATGAAAGAGCAAGTCAATCTAGCCAATATCTGAATTCTAGGTGAAATACTGAATTTCTTTCCTGAATGGTTGGGCAGTGTTTGCTTTCGAACAGTGGTTTTTAATCAGAGCCAGGCCTCCCAAACAGGTACGTCACAATATGTGCCAAATCGCTAAGTGAAGCACTACTTGTTGGCTTTCTCGCCCACTGCAAATAGCATCCCGACCAGATAAATTGCATGGGTTGTGTGACACGGTCTGATGTGATAGGAAGACATCCACACCTTGAGATTGTGTGACATTTTTTATGGTTATGCCGCGTTTATATATATATATATATATATATATATATATATATATATATATATATATATATATATATATATATATATATATAAATAAAGCGACGTACATGTAACTGTTTGGGAGGTCTAAAGATGGTCCCAAGAATTTCGAGGTCCTTCGATAATCACTTCCTTATGTAAACATTTAGACACTGACATTTCAATACAAGGTTAATGATGAGTTCATATTCAAGGGAGTCATTTACCCCGAGTTGACTTTGGTTTACCTATGTATTATTATTATTATTAATGTTTTGGTCCGTTTTGCCAGTGCACGTAAAGTTCAGTTAATTTCGAATGCATCTTTCAATCACGAGTTAATTGTTTTGGTAATATTGTGATCATTACCATACAACTCTGAAAACTCATTTAGGACCAGTGATTCCAATAAACTGTGGAAAATCATATGTGAGAGTAAATTACAACGTTATTTGACCGGTGATAATGACCACGATAATGACACTCAACGCTCACCAATTAACGGACGCTGTCCATAGTATTACCCTACGTCAAAAATCAACCATCATTTCTGGAAACAATCAACGCGTTGCGTTTACTTATTACAAACGCACTAATAAACACAGGTATTATTGCCGGGCTTTTTGTCTCCTTTTATTGGAGTACGCAATTCATCGTGTCGTTGCTGAAAACAGCAGATAGTGTTTATTATTAATTGTCATCGCTGGAGTTGCGTTCTAGACGTATCCTAGGACACCGGATCCTAGTATATAAATCCTCTGCCACAGCACCTCTGGAGAGAGGCTTTATAGAGAAAATGGTGAACTATTATCTTACAATTTTCATCTGACGACTACAATCGTTAGTGGGAGCGGAGTGACAATTTACTATACTATACTGTTTACTATACTATAAAGATCTGTTCACCCTGGTAAGTATTACTTTTGGTTTAAGAAAATAGGTAGGATAAAATGTAAGTTCTTTTTTGATGAATAACCAATTTTTCAGTTGGTATATTCAGCTACGCCTCAATGCGAACGTACGTCCTATCACTCATATTGCAGGGCAAGACAACGCTAACATGTATGGCCTACTCCTAGAAAATATATTCGACTACTTGAAACAAACATATGGCAACAACGTTGCCGATGAAATACGAAAACGAGCAAATATTAGCCAGAGTAATTTTGTCACCCACCAAGTCTACAGTGAGACCTTGATTCCCCGAGTGCGAGACGCTACCTACGCCATTACTGGAACCCCCAAAGATGAGTTGATGGAGCAGTTAGGAGTGGCATTTGTACACTATGTTCGGCAACATGGCTACGAACGAGTTCTCAAGGTATTCGGCCGTCAAATGAGAGATTTCATCAATGGTTTGGACAATCTTCACGAATATTTACGCTTCAGTTATCCTAAACTTAAACCCCCTTCCTTCGTCTGTCAAAACGAAACCAAAGAAGGACTAACTCTCTATTATCGAACTAAGAGGAAAGGGTTTTTATATTACGTTAAAGGTCAAATCAGAGCCGTTGGAAATCTCTTTTACAACACTGACGTTGACATTGAGGTAATAAGTCACACTGAAACAGAGGATTTAACCCAAGTTGTATTCCAACTCAAGTTTGACAATAGCAGTTTCGAGGACTCCGGCACGCAGATAACAGCAGAAAAGACCTACCTGCCGGTCAACTCGAAAATCTTCTTCAATGCATTCCCGTTCCATCTTGTATTTAATCGGGATATGCTGATTAGGAGTGCAGGTAAAATTCTAGAGCAAGTTTTAGAGAAGCTGGAAGGAAAGCAAATTGACACAGAATTCAGCATGTTGCGCCCTCTGTTAGAATTTACCTGGAAAAACGTAAGTTTCCATGTTTTACTAGAAAAGTTAAAATTATAAATTACAACAGCTGCGTATAAACGAAATATTCTGAAACGTTGATCGTTGTCAATTTACAATTTAAAGTGTGTTCTGAGTGTCTCTCTTTATGTAAACCTGCAAATATTTCTCTGTTATTGTCAATAATGTTGGTTCGTATCGTGATACCAAATACATGAAACTTAGACGCATGAACGACAAATTAGAGGGAACATGAGAAAAGGCACAATGGCAACCAATGTCAGTTGACAGCGTGTCTTTCAGGTTATGTCTCACACCAATAACGTGTTCACACTACAATCCGTCAATGAGACCATGGCACTGAAGAAGGGCGGAACAGACTATGAAGGTGATTAGTCTACAGCAATACTAAAGCCCCTTTTACACTGGACTGTGTCCTTTCTGCGACCACAGCGATGCCAGTTTCATGGTCGCAAAAAAGACGCAAAAAGGAGGACGTCCAGTGTAAAGGGGGTTTAACTCAGTTATAATTACATGGCGTTGTTTTCATTGGGTTGTAGCGTGGTATCAGATCACTATAGCATAACACCGTTCCTTTGCCAAATAAAATCAACCAGTAATATTTATGAACTATCTGTTCCAATATCATATATATCCCTTATTAAAATCCTTTTTTTAATTTCTTTCCGTTGTTTTATTTCATTTTATTTCATTTTCTACTTATTTTGTTAATGGAAATTCTATTATACTGGAAAATTGTGGTATCTGCTTCACGTATATTTTCATTTTTTTTCCAAGCTATTTCACTATTTTTATCTCACTGCTTCGATGTGTTTTCCAGTCTGTCCCGTTTCCCATCGTCCCACCTACCTGCGTCTGAAGGGACAGATGATGTACGTGGAGGAATGGGACTCCATCTTATTTCTGGGAACACCAATGTAAGGTTTTCTTAAATGAAAAATTTTAAATCCTTCTGTGATACCATTTCATTCACGTTCCTCCTTTTATGCACCTACCTAGAATATATAAACATTATCAACCCTTTTTCGTTTTTTTTTTTTTTTTTCATCCAAACTACCTACATGTACCTATTCTATTTATTATATACATGTATTACATCTTAAAGATTTATCTTGAAGGGTGCCAAGACTATAAAATAACAATTTCACCGATTTTATTGAATCATTCTATTATTGTCGTATAAATCAGCATGGAGAATCTTGACGTCATGTTCCGGGCCGGTCTCTATATCAACGATCTTAGTATGCACGACTCCAGCAGAGATTTGGTGTTAGCTGGAACACAACAGTCTGCAGAACTCAAACTAGCCTTGGACCAAGTAAGACATTTATCAGAAATACATTTGAGGCTTATTTAAAGGTACATACGAACCGAGCATCGGTGGAGCGTGGATTCCCAGTAACACATGTAAACCACCTCTACTAGATTCTTATATGACTCAAATAAATTTTACATGCCAAGGGATAAACTGAATAGATCACTCGATCAGCCATAAAAGACCTTTAGACTGCTCCTTTCTTTAAATTTATGGTTGTAAATTTAACCTACATTCGTGACCTACTTTCCTGCCCCATTGACATACAGCTTAGAATGCCAGCAGAAAAATCTGTTCAAACATCATTTTCGGGTAAAATTAAACAATGCCTTTTGGTAATTCTCTTAGTTATACTACTTGAAACTATATGCTGGCATTTGGTTGGTTTTTGTGACAAAAAATTGACTTTGTATGTATCTTTAAGGTTTAAAAATAATTGTGATATGTGCTTTATAATGCGTTCATCAGATCAACCAACATTAGAGCCATAAACAGAAAAATAACAAAATTCGACGATTAAGTAGCAGATTGCATAAGTCAATATAAACGAGGAATGTGGAGATAGTAAAGTAAATCATAGAAAAATATCGTTTTTTCAGGAACAGTCAAAAAACAAAAACCTGGAGGAGACGATGAAGAAGTTGGATGCAGAAATGAAGAGAACAGATTCGTTGCTGTACCAAATGATCCCAAAGACTGTTGCTGATCGTCTGCGTAAAGGAGAGCCTGCCGTTAACACCTGCCAGGTAAATGAAATATTTTTTAATCCGTGTAAATATTGTTTAAAGTAATACATTGTCATGATTTAAAAGTTTATGGTCAAATTTTTTCTGACACATAAACGACAATTTCGATAGTTTAAAGACAAAATTTTTATTCAAATGTATAATATGGCTAATTTATATTTCATTGGGTTTTATTTAGCTTTTCATCAGTTTTTATTTTTGAATATTTTTTATTAAAATCTTTGTGGTTTTGAATTTTTTAAAAATGTAACGATATTTGTAGACAGCGTTGTACCACGGTTAAGAAACAATTAGATAGATACATTTATTTCCATAATATACAAAATATGACAAATACATATAGAAATTTCGGGCAAAACAGAATGAACATTCATGGATTTAACCAAAAAAAATAAAAATACTGCTTCTTGGTGTAACTTTATACACTTAAAGCACTCTCCTGTCAAAAGACAATAGGTCGCGCCATGCTTTATTTCGTGTAAAGTCACGTCATCCACGAATGCGTTCCACGCACCAATGCACAGTGTTAATTACTCGTGCTTTAAGCCAGATAAAGCACTCGGCGCTGAGCTTTACGAGAAATAGAGCAGATAATTATCTCGGCTTCGCCTCGCCATTTATCTGCTCTATTTCTCGTAAAGCTCAGCACCTCGTACTTTATCTATACCTTAGAGGTACCTTGCACTTATAAACTATTAAAACATTTGCAAGGTTTCCTCAGTGAACCTGTGGAAATTGATTTCTAATTGAAGCTGTTTTTGCACATAAACAAACCACGTGCTTTTCAGTCTGTATATCCTCACATTTACAAAAACGGTTCTCCATGCAAATCGTTGCCCACCTCCTTTTTGTCTCTTTCCAAATAATGCGCGGAGAGTCTAAGCCTTGTTGCTAACCGGTCATATTCTGGCACTGTGTTATTGTAAATATCATGCACAAATACATGTAGCTCTGGGTTTATATAATTGTACAATCTAAATTTACTACCCTCTGCTGTACCTTAAATCTTAAATATTATTAGCATTTTATTATATATTCCTTGCACTTAAGTCTTGTGCGTGCATTTTCCTTTATGTTTTTTCAGAGTTTTGAAAGTGTCACCGTGTTGTTCAGCGATGTTGTAGGGTTCACTACTATCTGCAGTCAAATATCTCCCATGCAAGTGGTGGGCATGCTGAACGTGATCTACACAATATTTGACCAACTCAGTGAGAAGAACCAGGTCTATAAGGTACAGAACTGGGATGTTTTTCTCCTGTATATTAAAATTTATGAAAGTTCAAAAAACTATCCAGATTTAGTGGTATTTACAGGAACGCTCGTTTCAGTCTGAACATGTGAACCACGTGACTGTTCTATTTGCCAGGTGGAGACGATAGGGGACGCTTACATGGTGGTGGCGGGAGCACCTATCAAAACCAAATACCACGCGCATCACATCTGTAACATGGCGTTTGACATGTTAGACGCCACGCTAAACCTGGAAAATCCTTCATCTGAAGGAAACATGGCCATACGTATAGGTAAGTTACACACTCTGTCTGTTTATTAATAATATATTATTCTGGTGATATTGATTATTGTTTGACATTATGGAGAGGATGAAATAGCGCGATAATTGGAATGAAATGTTTAATGAAATGAGAGACTTGTTGACTTCCAGAAGTTGTTTTCATCATTTCAATATGGTGCAGTAAAGTGCCTCTGTATAAAAAATCAATTTAACTGTTAATGTTTAATTATTTAATTCCAGTAATTCTCCTTTGTCGTGGTAGTATGAAGAGCCGTCAACTATCATGTATAGATAATAATGTATAGATGAATGGGGTTGTCTTTTTAGAAATGTGTTTTTCACAAAATGTTAACTTTATTAATAGAACAGTCGCCTTATTTCATCATGGCACTCAAGCAAGGGAGAGTGCCAACCTTTCTGCGGCTGGTCTGTTGAATTTATTAGTATACTCGTATGTAACCTTCTTGTTATTGCAGTAGTGCATATTTATTTTCGCTGATGAACAAATCAATACAGGGCGTACACGCATGGAAATAGGTATCTGCCGTCTAGATCGTTCTTTGTTGTTATATTGGTATGGATGTACTCTTTCTAGCTTTGCAAGTCAAATAATGAAGAAATGAGCTTAATAACTAAACTTTATAGTGTGTGTGTGTGTGTGTGCGCGCGTGCGTGCGTGCGTGCGTGTGTGAGAGAGTGTGTGTGTGTGTGTGAGTGTGTGTGTGTGTGTGTGTGTGTGTGTGTTACACGTTCTCTCTATACACCATGTATATCTGTCTTATTTAAGGCGTTCACTCGGGTGCAGTGGTAGCAGGTGTGGTAGGGATGAAGATGCCGAGGTACTGTTTGTTTGGGGACACGGTGAACACAGCCTCTAGGATGGAGACCACGGGAGAGGTACGCCATGACAGTGGGGGGCTTAATTTAAAAAAGGTTATATAATTGTATAAGATAAGACACTTTTAGGTGTAAGCCCAAAAAAATTTTCATGATAAAACCACACTTTGAGGTGATGCTATTAAACGTATTCACTGCAATACCATCAATGATATGCTCTTTTCAGTGTGATTATCTATGTTGCACATTACCAGCAACTCTGTATAAACTATATATATATATATATATATATATATATATATATATATATATATATATACGCCTTGACTTGATAATCTCCTTCCACAGGCAATGAAAGTACACGTCAGCGAAACAACAAAGCAGCTCATTGACAGCGGAGAGGGCTACGTGCTGCATGAGCGAAAAACGCTTCAAGTTAAGGTACCTGTAGCACCTACTACTTTTAAACCCCCTCTCCCCTCAAGTCTTGCTGAAAAAGGTGTAAAAAAAACATCCAAGATTAACGTGGTACAAAGCAGCTGTGGGGACTTGTCTGAATAAGAAAGGGATTTTTTATTAGAAATAAAAAGCAGGTGATGTTTGTAAATCAATTTTATAAAAAATCGATGGAAATTCTATTCTGAACGACCGAAATTTAACTGAATCGCTGCGTTTATTGGGGCAATGATGTTATGATTGGATCGAAAGTATTTTTAAAACATGATTACATGTTTTTGGATGGTAACTTTTCTTACACTCTTTCTCCTCTGCATTATTCCATGAAATAAATAAGAAGACAATATGATCTTATCATTTCAACAGTTTCACCTTTTAATTTGTTTCTCATAATTTTGATGTTTCAGTAGCTTAATGTATTTATATTTTAGACATACTTAAGTTAATATCTTAATATACTGTTTGTTTTATGTGTAGCTTATTAAAATGTTATCATCATCATCATCATCATCAACATCATCATAATCATCATCATCATCATCATTATTATTATTATTATTATTATTATTATTATTATTGGATAGATAACCGATATTGGTAATATATCACAAGTTACTATACAGGTAGACAAGGCCAAGTGTTGTATTTTGTCCTGAAACTTGATGAACGTCACGTCTTAACATTTTCTCAGGGCAAAGGCCTTATGAAGACTTACTGGTTAGCGGGAATTCCGGGCCGGGATCCCACCAAATACGCCAAACTGGCGTACAAAGCTGCTCTGTGTCCGAAGACAGAAGATAGTCTGGCAGAGGAACCGTTTGAAGAGAGAACAGAAGTGTTTTCTCTACTCGGAGAGGTCGACCAGACAGATGTAGTTTCGTTAGTCTGTAGTTATAGCGCCTCCCATGCCAGTTTTACAGGCGAGGATCTGCATGCCAGCAGAATGAATGATTTCGGTAAAAGACGCGGAAAAGAGAAAGAAGTTAATGATCTCAACATTTCGATGAATGATATAAATAGAGACAAGTTTAGATCGAAAGTCATTTTACATGTCGATCACAATGATACTGAAGATGAAAACACACGAGAGAACGTGTTGCCTGTCGGCAGGAGCAAATTGTGTTTTATTTTATGAAAACAAATCGATGCATTTAGTAGACTAGAAGCAGGACCATGCCCTACTTTAGTCGCTTTGCCTGTTGTTTAATTTTGTTCTGTTATATATGGTTTTGCCAACTGTACATCCACGTGAGCTGTGCAAAAAATCAACACGCACACTTGCTTTTTTTCTGATGTGATTTTAAACGTTAAATTGTGTTATTAAATTATATTGATATACTGGTTCTACATTCAGCTTGGTTTGTCTTTAGTGAATTTTTAATCTTTATCCCAAGTACGTTACGGGCTTACAACACCCCAATTCTCGCACAACAACACAAAAAAAGGCAATTCTTTCCTAGAATAATCTTATTACGCTAATTTTGATACTTGTTCTGCATTTTTCAATGTACAAAACCTCCCAATGAATTTAGAGTAAATTTGATATGTTCACTTTCGTATCGAAGTTTCTTTATTCGACGTATTATAGTCCAGCACACATGGGATCTTTTGTTAATTATTTCTATTCTGTTCAAATTTTTTTATCTGAAGTTTAATCACGGCAGTGAAATTTGTAATTAATTCTATATTTATTTATGAGACAGTAAATACTGTATATGGCGATCTGTGATTATATATTGTGATGGGATGACACTGAAATGTGTTGTTAATGTTGGTAAAAGTAAGAATGTTACTAAATATTTTCATTCATAAAAGAGATAATTAATGAAAAAGCGTGAAAAATCGAAAAATATTTTTTTCTAAATCTTCCAAAATTGAAATGGATATTAAGAAAGCATTTTGAAAATTTGTGTCTATTAAATATGAATTTCAAGCGAACGTTTTGCCACATAAGCAGACCAAATAGTAAATTAGAAATGCCAACAGGCAACGTTCCATATTATCCGAAAAATGATATTTGAACGGATATTTCTGCTTGCTTACCGTGGTAAGTAAGTAAGTTGGTCAAATTTACAACGGAATTTACAACCAAAAATTTGAAGAATGTTAAGTTTAAAGTTCTTTTATGGATAAAAGAACAATTCTGTTTATCCTGTGGCACTTAATTTGAGTCGTGTAAGAAACTAGTAGAGTTTTAGAGATTTATATGAGGGTCCCTACTTTTAAGTATTGAAAACGCCAGAGACATTTTGTCCAATCAATAATCAACCAAAATCTGTTTGAATGCAGTTCTTGCAATCGTGGACTATTGTCTGATACTGGACTCGGTTTCTCTTTAATATTCTCGATCATGCTATTTTCGTACAACAACATCTTGTTTTACTTGATAATTTTATATCATATGTGACCAGCTTCTATTCTATAATGGCTAGAATTAAGTGTCTGAAAGCTGTTCGTCGCAGATGAAAGTTGATTACGTGTAATTGGCGAGGTGATGTTCCTGCACGCGAATGGTTAATTATCTGCAACGTAACAGATGCCAGGTGTCAGGTGGGGCAGTTAAGTTGGGGTAGTCAGGTGAGGTGTTCAAAATGGGGTGGTCAGGGGGTGGTTAAGAGGGGTAGTCACATGTGGCCGTCAACAGGGGTAGTCAGGTTGGGGGGGGGGCAACTGTGGGCAAAAACAGCTAGCAGCAAGCAGTGTTGACAAGTCATAAAATGTGTTGCCTAAATCTCTGTCATGTCTGCGTCACTATATTAAAATCGTGCTCTTTGATTTTGAATACACTTCTTAAAGTGTGATTCTCTGATCCATGATTGTTTATACGACTTCCCAATTGTTTCTCCTCCCATACCATGTTTTCTCCAAACCAAATCACATTTGTTTTAGGGTCGCTTTACTTGAGGAAGCAATGTTGAAAATGCAAACGGAGAGACAGCTGAAAATAGCTAATTCAAAGATATTATAATAAAACAGTTTCGAGTTGAGTTCCGATATATTGATTCACTTTGGATAAATGGCGATTATCGAAATGCAAAAAGAAAAAATCCTGAGCCTGAAATATAGTGACCACCACAAAACAGTCAAATCCCGCCAAAATACCCATTGTTACCATACGTTAGCACTTGCTTTAGGCTTAACATACCATTCCTGATATCTTACACTATATCACGTTCGATGGGTCTTAATTTAACGGAGGAATCGAGAAATTGGGAATACCATATAAAGGCAGTACAATAGATTGACGTAAAAAACAAGCGATTTAAATGTTATGTTTAGTCACAACTAAATCTTCATATTACTTGATAATTTTAACCTGAAAGACAAGCGATTTAAATGTTATGTTTAGTCTCAACTAAATCGTCATATTTCTTGATAATTTTCAACCTGACAGGGCCACTTCATCGAATTTTGAGGTTTGACTCTGAATAAAATTTTAATTGCGAACCGTGCTCAATACAAAATGTAATTATTGATTCACTAATTTGAATTTTGTTACGGTTGTCATTTAGCAAACATATCGAACTACATTCATAAAGCTGACGTAATGCCATTCTTAAACTAGCAATTGGCACCAAAAATTGCTTACTAGTACCTTGATTCACTACTACACATTATTTACCACTGTCTGCAAAATATGAACGCCGTTTGGAGTGAGTATGGAGTGAACTATGTCATTGGACGATCACTAGCATACTACAGTTACGGATCATGGGAAATCCACGCTCATTAGCCGCGGCTTCCCCAGGACCCTCGAATGTAGCCGCCTGGTCACGGGTCACTGGTCACTGGTCACCTCCTGGAGAAACCACCGTCATTGAAAAGTAAATTACAACTAGTTCTATTGTTGTGGGAGCGCTAACTATCGCCATATACTTCTGTATCAGACACGGCTGGAGTGGTGCCTTCTTTTCCGAGGAAGATTTCCTTGAAGTGTCCTGCAATGGTCGCACGTACTCGAGGAGGATAATTAAATGATAAGGTTGTCTCAGTTTTCAAAGTGTACAAAACTGGTACGTTGAAAATGTAAGCAATAGCCAAGAGACCCGGGCTGGATATATCTGTAGATGACACTGCTGCAGTGAGAGGTGCCAAACCGGAAGAAGGAAAATGGTAACTGTGCGTGGTGATGAGAAGGGTGCCAAGCTGGAAGTTGACATAGTCCCGGGAACCCGTCACAACCTGGGACTATGTAAACTTACAGCGCGAGACCTCCTATGTCTGTGTACATCTCCTATGTCTGTGTACATCTTCTAAGTCTGTCTACACCTTCTTTACCTCTAGTGTAATAACAAGTTTTATAGGATCCCAAACTGTGGATGCTAGATGCAAAAAATGCGGATTCCTAAATAAAAACGAATGCCTAAATATCAGTAAATTCTGGCGAAAATCACTGGCGCACTTAATTCAGATTAATTTGGCGTTTTCTCGGAATAAAGGTAATATTTGGGTCTATAAGATTCAACCTGACGTTTTACAACATCGAAATCTAAACAAATTGGAGCAACAAGTTGTTAAGTTTTTTGAGACGCAAAATATTCTGCATAATACAGACGGAAAATGTTGCTTATATATGCAGCTACATTTTGCGGCCACGGTTTTAATTTTTCCTGTCACCGCAGGAATTGTGTTGCATTTATTTTCTAACAAAAGATAAAATAGAAGTACGTCATATACACGTGATACCTTTAAATGCTTTCAACCAGAATTTTTGTTCAATATCTGATGCCTTCCAATTCTCTGCAGACAGTTACAAAACAAAAACCATAATAATAATAATAACAATAATAATAATAATAACCATGAAAACAGAAAAATATAGTTTTAAGACGGTAAAACGCGTTAAGTAAAACTTTTCCCAATCTTAGTAATAGAGATGGCACGGGCAGTTCGGGCGGTGGTGTCAACATTGACTGGGGACAGTGACAACCCTGGGTCAATGGGACACCAACGCTCGCACTGCCCTCTACTGGTACCTTCCTTAGTAGACAGAACTTCACCGCGCAAGATGTCAGTTCTTAGAGTGTTGATACTGTCACCACATCCAGAAACTTAACTCTTACAAACCACAAGTAGAAGGTTTTGGAACTATTAAAAGGTGTCTCCAGACAGAAGTATTGTTATATGCTAAAAACTTTCACCACACCCGAAAAGATACCATTGACTTGAGTAGTATGTGTTTAAAACGTTGTTCAACTTTCACCACACCCGGAAAGACACCATTGACTTGAGTATTATGTGTTTAAAACGTTGTTCAACTTTCACCACAGAGTAAGACACCACAGAGTAAGACATGTGAAGTGCGTTGTTATGTTGGTAAGGATTGTTTGTAAGTTAACGTAATCGCAAGTCGATATTTTCAAAAACCCTGGGACTACGTCAACTTACACGCAATTCATACTTCTTAAGAACCCCCAAATTCTTGTTGGTCAATTTCCACCAATCCACCTCCTCCTTGCCCCCCACTGTGCGTCGGTTACAGGCGTCTGCCTTCGTGAAAGAACAGAACTGTCTACACTATGAACTCCCAAACATGGTATAACACATTTATCTAACAGTTACATGTAAAACGCAATTGAATGCACTACAAGTATTACTGATTGGTGCTGTTTTTAAGAGTAAATTACAATATACTGGTATTTCAAGTTTATACTCACCCCTAAAGTATATAACTTCCAGCCATCAGTGTGCATCGCATATCTTTTATTGAACTTTTGTCAATTTTTAGAGCGTTTAAAGGAAAGTGAGACTAAATTAGCTAACCACATATCAATAGGTCGGCCTGGACTCTGCTTGTTGCTATTCCTTTCTTTCATGCTCGAATGCCTTCTCTTAGGATTGATGTAGAATTTTCTCTACCTAAAATGATAAAAAAACGTCCTCCTTAGAAACTTGTCGCAGAGAGGCGTAGGGGCAGTTGATTGTATCACCAGTATTTCCGAAATTTCACAACATGGTTGTCTTCAGAAGCCCACTACACTAGATAGGTATATAACGTCTGTAATTTGTTGTTAGAACTCTTCCTCTCTGTCTATATTGTGTAACTGACGTGTCCTTGTGTGACACAGGAACGTGCTACTCTCCCCTGCCACCTGGCAAGACGAAACTGAAGAGAAAAAGTCTGTATAGATCTTTTTATAACAATCGCAGTGACATTAACTAGTGCGGAGGAAGGCAGCTGTGGACGCGCGGAGGTTATGGCGACGCCAGCTGCTCGCCTCAACCCTCATGTGTCCACCCTCCAGTCACAACACAAGCGACAGATGGGGACTCGGAGAGAACGCAGCCCGCGTTCCCCAAGTCCTGGATCACACCGTGAATAAAAAGAGGGGAAGAGAGACGCTTCATCTCGACTTTTAGCTTTTCTGAAAAAAATGTTGAGGTCTGTTCGACCAAAATAACCGTCCGGTCCATTTGCCTGACCACCGCTATGAATGAGT